ACTCTTATTTTATGAATATTCTTTCTTATATTAAGATATTATAAACAAAGCCACAAACCAGGTGTTTTAGGGAGCCATGGTTTCATCTGAAGAGTGAAGTGTTTCTTTTAATCAATATGAGAGAGCTACGTCTTTATAGAAACCAAAACTGAAGGGGCGGGGATTTAGCTTAGTGGCAGAGTGCCTGCCTCACAAGTGCAAGGTCCTGAGTTTGATCTCTGGCACCAAAACAAACAAACAAACAAAAAAATCTGAAAAGGTAGAATCTGAATAGATTGAATAAAGGGTATAGTTTATGTTAGAGGCTTATTACTAAAATTGTGCCAACTCTTTAGGGTTCTAGTGTAGATGTCTGAACTGCATGAAGTGGTAGTATTTCTCGTGCCTTCAGGGTATAAGAAGCACTCAAATATTTGTTGAATAAGAAAAACATGCATGTAAATGGGACTGTTTCTGTGTATTTATAGAGCAACCTAGGATCAAAACTGTACATTCAGGCCAGGGATGTAGCTCAGCAGTGTTGCGCTTACCTGGCAAGTGCAAGGTCCTGAGTTTGATCCCTGGTACCAAAACAAACAAAAACCTACATTCTAGGCCAGATTATTTTGCATACATTCTCTTTGGTGGTATTTTCCTCCTCCCTAATATTTAGTAAAATCTTTAAAAGTTTAATGGAGGAAAATCAAGAGAAATTGTGGTTTTGTTTTTGATGATGGTCAAGAGGGGAGAATTCCAATAGCAAGGTGAAACTTACCATCAACTTTACACTTGATCTTAGCCTAAAGGCTGAGAAGTGATACTTAGCATCAACTTTAGTTATTTGCTTGTTTTTCTTTTGTTTGTTTTGGTACTGGGGATCGAACTCGGAACCTTGTGCTTGCAAAGCAGGGAGTGGAACCATTGAGCTAAATCCCTGGCCTAGCTTGGTATTTTTAAATCTAGGAGTATATAAATACGCCTTTTCTTTCTTTCTCTTTTTGTTTTGGTGGTGGCAGTATCACTGGGGATTGAACCCAAGGCCTTTGCACTGAGTTACCTCTCTACCCTTTTAAAATTTTGAGATAGAGCCTCATTAAATTGCCTAGGCTGGCTTCAAACTTGTGATCCTCATGCCTCAGCCTCCCCATTTCTGGGATTATAGGTGTGTGCCACCACACCCGGCTCAATGCCTTTTAAAGGAAGAAAGTTCTTATATATCCAAAGATGGGGCAGGGGATACTGTAGCAGAGTGGTAGAGCACTTGCCTAACATGTATTATGTATGAGGCCCTGGGTTCAATCCCCAGTACTGCAGAAACAATACAAAGCAAAAAAGAAGCAGTACAACTAAGGTCAGTGTGAGAAACACTGGGTTAAAAGTAGAATGTAACATTAGGGATTACTTGAAAAAGCAAAACAAAAATGGCAAAGCAAAACTAGATCACTGAAATGGGTGTGGCAATGTTATACTTAAGATTATCATATAAAAACAGTATTTAAGAATTCTCATAGGGCTTTCAGAGTCTTCATAATACATCTCCAGAGTTTATAGGTTAGGCTGACTTTACTTTGAAAAACTTCAAGTAGTGTACCTCTTCCAGATCTAGTGGTGTCTTGAAACTGTGTGTGTGTGTGTGTGTGTGTGTGTGTGTGTGTGTGTGTGTGTAAGGGAGCTTTTAAGTATCTAGCATTCATTATGTTTGCCTGGAGTAGGGGAAGACTATCAAAAGAGAATTTCCACTCTATTCCATCCAAATTGTCCTCATAGATTTCCCAGTTAGAAATGGGGTTGTTTCTCTTGGGATGTTTACCAGTCATTTACATGTTGGGAGCAGATATTTTACTGCTAAATCAACACAAATTTTATTTCTCCCTCAGAACATGGGAATTTTGTAAGAAGGAACCGTAGACCTTTGAGAAGGCAGCTTTCTTGGATGAGGAGGAAAATTATGACAGGGCAGTTTGTAGAAAAGAAGGTTGTTGGAGGCAGAGAAGAGGGAGGAGGAAATTGTTAAACGACTTTGCAATTTTGCCTAGGATCTTGAATTCTCTTGCTTCAGGTGCCTGAATCGGGGCTTTCAAAAGATTTCATAAGTCTGTACACTTTAGTTTTTCTGGTCCAGGTTATTCCAGCATAATGTCTATGTTGTCACATCTCAGATCAAAACGAAGAGAAAGAGGATCCTTCTTAAATGGAAAGCAAGTCAGGTCAGACCTGTCGGATAAACCTCATTCTCCTTCACCAGTGGTTTGTTTTGTCACTTATCACGGAGTAAATTAGTTTTCAGTACAGTATTCGCTAATTCTTCTGAGAGTGAAAGAAAGCTTTGGAATATGGACCAATTTCTGCTCTCATACTGTACCTGTCCCCTCTTTTTTTTTTGCCTTTTTTCTCTCACTTTAAACACTCTTCCTTTTTACTGGCATTGAAGGAAGAGCTGGCAAGGGTTAGAAGAGACGGAAAACTACTTTTTGATGCTTGGTTGGGAGAAATAACGTCCGTTGCTTAGTTCCGCAACTGCCTGACATATATAGTCGGTAATAAATTCTTTGCACCCCATAGCTTAAATGTCTTGAAGAAACAAACTGAAAACAGAGGATCAAAGCACTAATGCTCCTAGTCTACTCTCGTACATATTTCTTGCTTCCTTGTTTTGCTGTTTAGCAAGAGACATCAGTCATCTTTTTTCTGTCATCTTTTTAACAGGAGATTTAGTGGTAACTCTTTTTCTTCTCCCAACTCCTCAGTGAAGCTGTCGGTTTTCTCCCCATTGTCCTTAGTGTGCTTCGGTCGTGGATGTTGCAAACTCCACCATTCATCTTTCCAAGCGTCCCTGTCGAGGTGTCCTTGCGCTGGCATTTTCCAAGCCCGCAGCACTTTGGGGAGGCAGTTCTGGGATTCAATTGACAGCCTCGCGAAGCCCTGGGGTCTGCCGAGCCCGGGTGGGTGGGGCTGGGTGCTGCCGGGGCGGGGCCGATGAGCCGGACAGAAAAGGTGGAAGGCGGTTTAAGGCATAGCTAAGATAGGCCCGGCGGGCTGTGGGTTCAGTTTTCACGAAGGCTTCGAGTATGAGGTTGAGGATGTTGGGTATCTCCCTCCTGCCTGGACTTTCTTGTTTCTAGAAGCTTCAGCAGGCTTTTCTGGGTTGCTAGGACGCAGCAAGGCAGCGGCTTCAGCTCCGGGGGCGGGTCCCAAGGGTCTCGTCTCTGCTCTCGGCCGTTCGGCCTCTTGGCGTTGGGGGAGGGGCAAGGGAGGTGCTGCTGTCGCCTCCCTTTGCGCCTGCGCGGCAGGCTCCTAGCGGGTCGGAGCGCGTGCGCGGTGACGTGGACGTCCGGTGCGCGCGCAGACTGTTCAGCTGGAGCGGACACACGGTGTGCGAACCGTACAGAATAGCCCGCCCCCAGCGGGATGTGAAGGACTCCGGGTGAGGCCAGCCACGCCCCGCACGGTAACTCTTGGGTCTGGGTGGAGGCCGTCGCTTTAGTATTGGCCCAGTTGGAGTTTTTGGAGAGTTTGAAGCTCTTGTGTATTTGAACGTCTGAGCAGCGTTCGCTGAGAGATCTTCGCACGCCCGCGCCAGGCCGGGCCTTGCGCCGGGCAGCCTTTGGCGCGCGCCTTTGGTCCCTTGAGCGAGGCCGCGCATGTCACCTTGCGCGCGTCCCCAGTCTCACTTCCGCGTCGCCGCGCTGCTTACTGACTGGGAACATCGACGCCAGAGACAGCGGCCACGAGGCGGGCGGGGTGGGAAGCACTCATGGCGCCGCCTTGCTCTCGCGTGCGTGGGCCTCTGCGCCTCGTGGTAGGATGCGCGTGATGATTTCCAACCCTGCGCCAGGTCTAGGTCGAAACGTGTTTGTTTCGAGCTTAGCGGTTTAGAGCTTAGGTGTCGGGGTTTCAAAACTCCGAGGGAAACGGCACCGACGTCGATTTTCTAGGGAGGAAGTCGTAGCGTTTTGACACCTGTGTGAATGTCTTCTTTTAGCTTGTAATTTTTGGTCAAATTGTTTGAAGCACGACTGCTAGTTTGATAAGGAGGGTGAGGAAGTGCTTCGTACGGGAGTGGGAACTTCGTAAACAAAGGACCTGTGATTATTAAGTGCAGAAATGAGGTCAGGGAAGCAGGTGGAAGAGCAGGTGGTATTTTTTTTTCTCTCCCCTTTTGAGGCAGCCATTGGCTCATTTTCTGCTTGTGTGGCTTCCCGTTTCTGTGAATTGTGCAGTAGATCTTTGCTGTCTGGAAGGCGAGTCTGGGACGTAGGTTTCTCTGGACCATCAGTAACCGAAGTTGAGGAATCTGGCACAAAGAGAGTATGGAGAAGTTAAGATTATTTCAGACTTTGGCGAGAGAGGGAAGTAATGTAGTTAGTGGTTTCTCACTGTGAAGATTTTTGCCTGTCTTTTCGAACCCTGTGAATGCCTGTTTCCTCTGGCACGAGTGGAACTAGGGAGCGGTGAGGGATGTCTGGAAGGAGAGGTTAGTGATGATGGGCAGAACCCCGGGAGAAACCCGAGTACCTTCTTTGAGGGAAGACCACTCTTCCAAGGTCTGAGTCGCCGAAGTAGACACATGGATCCTTAGAAGTCGAGAGCTCACGCGTGCACTGCCAGTGTTGTAGAGCTTGCTAGGCTTCTGCGGCGGAGTCCCTGTGTAAACTCTTCTCGCTCTGCTCCTTGTTTTTTGGGCACGACGCTGCGGCTAGGCTGCAGGGAAGAAGGTTCATGGGGACGGCTGGACGGCTGCTGAGCAGGGGCCTTAGCTGAGTGGCTTAGATGTGTAGTCTCCACGGTAACAGAATTCGGCTAGGTCGGGGATGCGATCGTAGGGTTTCCGGCCAGCTACACGTGATCTGTCGGAACTCTTTTTTTTTCCCCCGGAAGAGCTTTCCTTGCGGCATCTTTTCACGTGGTGCTTGGCCAGCTGGCCGGTGCAGTTGAAAAGCGACAGTTGGTAGTCGACGGCGACTGCTGCTTCTGGCCGTTTCACTTCCAAAGGGTAACGCATCAGTGCTAGTGTTTCTTTCAGCCGGAGGATTATGTTGCCAGTGGGTAGTTGTGTGGGTAGAGTGGCTTGGGGCCACTTCACAGAACAACAAACTAAAGACTTGTGGGAAGTGTGCCCTGGGTACTGGGACAAACTTTTAGTCCAAATCTGGCAGCTGTCTGTTTCTGCCTAAAAATTAGTTTTTCAGATTCTACTTAGCAATTTTCTAGACCAAAATTCTAGTTTGGGGTTCATTTCTAGGGATATAAAATACTACAGTCCCCAATAACTTACGGTATTTGGGTACCTTTGTTCAGTAGAGTTTTGTGCCCTAAAACCCAAAATGTTTCAGATATTTTGAAACAATTTATCCTATAAAGTTGGGACAATAAAATGGTCTGGAGAGTTTATTAATTTGCAAATGCCATTTTTTAATTAATAAAATTCTACTGCTGACAGGTAAGAGTTATTAAGAATATAGTTGGCAATTTTACTGTTTTTGTCACACTGCTGTAAGGTTTTGATTATATTTTTCATTTTTTAAAAAAAAATTTAAAATTTATGGAACCAGTGTATATTGGTAAATGCTGCATGTCAAGTGAACTTATTCTCTTAAAATTTGAGTTTCAGGGGCCGGGGATTTAGCTCAGTGGTTCCACCGCCTGCCTCGCAAGCTAAGGACCCGAGTTCGATCCCCGGTACCAAACAAATAGTTGAGTTTCAAAAGCATGATTTAAGGGCCCTGCAAGGTCCGGAGTTCTGTCCGTGGTACCAACAGAACAAAAAAAACACGACTTAACATTATGATTTCTAGTAGTGAAGGATTATATTAAGGAACAAACAATCTTAGTGTCTCCCATACAATGATGCATTTACCGTAAGAAAGGTTGTAGTATAACTTGGGAAGCATTCACAATGTGTTGACCATCACTGGAATATTTGTGTTTTAAAAGTAATGGTATTGCTTTGGAATTTTGATTTGGTGTACCTAAAATTTTTTTTGTTTGGAGCACTATGGAAATCATTGAGTTAGGCACTACCTAGTGAACTCGATACTCTTCCTTAGTGGTTCCAGGAGTATCAAAAACTGAGTATCAGATCTAACTTGTGTAGAGTACCAATAAAGAAGTACTGGGACAAAATTTTGACTCCAAAGGAATTAACTAGTTTGAGAGCAATTGAGTACCAGTGTATGATTGTAGTGCATCTTGTGGGTTGCATGAGGCTCATCACTTTAGTAGTTAAAAGATTTCCTGAATTGGTCACTATGGAAAAAACATTTAGAATAAGAACTCGAAAATTCTAAGAATTTATGGAACTTGGCCTCATGAAAACATTTTTGTGGAAGCTTCTGTGTATGTATATCTGAGATAACATTCTGCAATATTACTGAATTTTTCCCTCCACAACTAAGCTTATTTACTTGGTTCTTTATAATAGGAATTTTATCTAGATTAAATGCTTGATGTCAAAAAGCTGAACTTGATTTTTTTTTTTAATGTTAAGGGATACCCTCCTACATTGGTCTTTATTAGACATTTTTAGAGCCAAACTATTTTTAGAATCTTGCTGGAAGGAGACAGATTTTTTTCCTTGAGTAGCCTGTCACTTCCTAAAGTACATCTGATTTTTGCAGTTGGCTTACAGTTACCTTAGATTGGTCTCTTTGTGAAACAACTGAGTATCTTGAGTTGACTACCCTCTGATGAGAAAATCCAATATAGTAATCCCAAAGGATAGGCATATACTTATGGTGAATGAAATCTGTACTTAGATTGGTGTGGCATTAAAAATTCAATTCCTTCTTTGGTACTGGGGATCGAACTTGGGTCCTTTCCGCTTGCGAGGCAGGCAGCGGAACCACTGAGCTAAATCCCTGGCCAATTCAATTCCTTAACAGTGGCCATTACCGTTCAATATACGGTTTTTGGTCATAAATTAGGTGTTTTCATTTTATGCATTTTTGATCAACCGATGCACTAAATTGATCGATTTAGTGGTTTTTTGTTTTCTTTGAGGCAGGGTCTTGCTGTGTAGTTCAGGCAGGCTTAGAACTCCTAGGGTTCCTCCTGTCTCAGCCCCTGGGGATTACAGGTGCATACTACCACAGCCAGCATGATTTAGTGTTTTTTAAATTTTTTTTTATTTTTTACTTTTGGTACGGGGATCGAACTCGGGTCCTTGCGCTTGTGTGCAGGCAGCAAAACCACTGAGCTAAATCCCCGGCCCCTCCCTCAATCTTATTTACCTCTAAAAAATCTCCAGGGGCTGAGGATACAGCTAAGTGGTAGAATGCTAACCTAGAATACTCAAGGCCCTAGGATTCATCATTAAAACAAACAAAACCCTGCTTCAAATCAGAGGAGATTCCCTCCCCTTTCCTGTATATTAGTGCTTTACTGTTAGGAAGTACATTTCTATTTTTATCTCTAATCATAATAGGAAACAATAGCCAAGATTTTGAAGTCTTTTATTTTTATTAGTATAGTACATGTTTGTAGTACTAATGCATATTTAATGACTACCTTCATGGTGGGAAGTTGGTACATGTACATGACAGATTTTAATTCTTTTTGTGACCCCTTTCCTCTTCCCCTTGAGGTCTTGATTTTTAAAAAATGCAAGCTGTCCAATGTTTAAAGTTTTGGAGCTCTTTTTTTCCCTTCTCAATTTGGTCAATTCTGTAAAAACAAAATTCAGATGAGGTGCTTTTGCTTCTTGTCGATAGCTCTGATAAAAGTAAAATTAGACTTTTAACTAAAAAGACCAATAAGTGGCTGAATTTGATTTATTAAAATTAGTGAGCCACCTACATAGGAGCAGTGATGCAGCATCTTCTTTGTTTTGTTTTTTTAATTTTTTTTGGTACCGGGGATCAAACTCGGGTCTTTGCACTTGTGTAGCAGGCAGCAAAACCACTGAGCTAAATCCCCAGCCTGCAGCATCTTCTTTGTATAAAAATTAATTGGGGGGAAAAAACTAACTGGGGGCTGGGGATTTAGCTCAGTAACTCCACACCTGCCTTGTAAGTGCAAGGTCCTGAGTTTGATCCCCTAGTACAAAAAAAAAAAAAAGGAAACAAAACTAATTGGAGAGCCGGGTGTGGCGGCCACACACCTGTAATCCCAGCACTTGGGAGGCTGAGGCAGGAGGATTGCTATGAGTTTGAGGCCAGCCTGGACTGCATAGTGAGTTCAGGGCCAGCCAGAGCTACAGAGCAAGACCCTGTCTCAATGCTCCCCCTCCACCAACAAAACAACTAATTGGAAGCAACTAATTGAAGGTGATAGGTTTATGATATCAGGTCAGTTCAGTTCAGTTTAACAATCAGATTTCTTTAACATAAAATTTATCATTTAAAAGTACTGTATGTACCAGCAGGTGTGGTGGTGTGACATCTATAGCCCCAAGTAACTCTAGAGGCTGAAGCAGGAAGATCACAAGCTTTGGGCCAATCTGAGCAATTTAGCTAGACACTGTCTCAAAATAAATTTAATAAAGGCTGCGAGTTATAGCACAGTGCTCCTTGAGTTCAATCCTCAATATTGCAAAAAAGCAAAAAGCAAGTAAACCAAAAAAATATACATCAGAAATAACACAGTAGTCCCAGTTTTCCCTCCCCTCTCCTGTCAGCCACTACTCTACTTTGTCTTTACGAAGATTTACCTATCTTGTACATTTCATATAAATAGAATCATACAGTATATATGGCCCTCTTTTTTTTTTTTTTTTAGCCAGAGTCTCACTGTGTAGTCCAGGGTGGCTTTGAACTCATTCTGTAGCCCAGGCTGGCCTTGAACTCACAGTGACCCTCCTGCCTTAGCTGAATGCTGAGATTACAGGTGTGTGCCACCACACTGGGCTTTAATAGGTTTTATGTTCAAAAGGTATAAGTTTATGTACCGCACCAAAAAACTAATTTAAGATGGGGGGATGGTGACACATTCTTGTAATGCCAGCACTCTAGGAGGCTGGGGGCAGGAGGATCACAAGTTGAAGTCCCACCTGGACACTTTTAAGTGAGATTGTGTCTCAAAAAATAAAAAAGGCTGAGGATACAGCTCAGTATAAAGGCCTTAGGTTCACTCTCCGGTACCTTACAAAAAAGGAACTAATCTTAACTCACGTTTTTTGAATAGGTTGTATGTTCACAATGCATAAAATTTATGAAGTGTCAAAGAGTATTTACCAAGCCACCAGTTTGGTGTGGACATGACCAATATTACTAGCTCCTTTTTTGTCTTTCCAGTGTTAGTTTGTTTCAAGCAAAGAGCATGTGTTCTTGTTGTTTTTTGAATTGGAAAAAAAAATTTTTGTAAGAAGCCTAAGCTAATCCATAACTCTTCTGAGCATTTTACCCTTAAAATATCTTATGGATAATTTTTATACACACCTATAAAGTTAGTACATTGTCTTATATTTGTACCAAATTCCACTTTATGGATATATCACCATTTGTTTAATCAGTTTGTAGTCATAGTCACCCCCCATCTTTTGCTTTTATAAATGGGAATCAGGGAATGATCCTGTATGTATAATTTATCATAAGTATGGGTATATTTAAGATAAACTCCTGGAAGAACTGCTGTGTCATAGGATGTATGTATTTATAGTTTTGATATTTTTATTTTTTTATTTACTTATTTTTTCTTGGTACTGGGGATTGAACTCAGGACCTTGTGCTTGTGCAGCAGGCGCTGGAGCCACTGAGCTAAATCCCTGGTCCCAGTTTAGGTATTTTTAAATTGACCTCTATTAGAGATAATCTGTCATTTTAGACTCCCAGCAACTGGTTAGATGATAATGCTGGTTGACCTATGCCCTTTCTAACAACCAGGCTTTGATTTTTGCCAGTCTGATAAGTAAAAAGTACTATTTCAGAATGGTATTAATTTACATTTCTTTTTTCCCACCTCGGTTTTGAGGATTAAACCAAGGGCCTGGGACATGGTAGGCAAGCACTCTACCAACTGAGCTACATCCCCAGTACAATTTACATTTCTCTTATTATGAAACTGTATATTTTCTTAGCCACTTGGTCTTCCTAATCTTGACCCATTTTTCTTAGTTATTTAGTCTTGTTGATCTGTAGGACACCCCCCCCCCGCCCAACCCAGTACTTGGCAAGCAAGCCTTTCACCTCTGAACTGCATCCCCAGCCCTGTAAGTTTTTGTATTATAAGAATGTGTTACTTATGAAAGTTACACATACCCTTTGCTGGTTAATTGCTTTTTTTTGTTTGACCTGTTTTATATTAATTTTATTTTCATTAAGTTTATTGGTACATTTTAGGTATACAATACAGTTACATTTATCATTGGGATCTTGTACCTTTTCATGATGTATCTTGGTTCTTATTTTTTCCCCATTCCCCTCCCCTCCCTTCGCCCCCTCCACCCTTCCCTATTTACAAAGACTTTGTTTCCATTTTTTTCCCTTTCTCGAATTTTTTCTTTTCCCTTCTTTTTCCCCCCTACCCCTCCCACTTCCCCTACTCCTTTAGACCTTTTCTTCCTATTTCACAATATCAGTTATACATTGTGATCCTTATTTACACTTTCAGTTTTTCACACCAGATGGTTAGTTGCTTTTTAATTTTGCTTAGATGGTTTTCTCAGATTTTCTTTTTTCTTTTTGGTACTGGGGATTGAGCTCAGGACCTTGTGCTTGCCAGGCAGGTGCAGTGCCACCGAACTACATCCCCGGCCCTGTAATGTTGAATTTATCAAAAAAAATTATATATATATGTGTATTTTTGGTACCGGGGATTGAACTCAGGTCCTTGTGCCTGCGAGCGAGGCAGGCGGCAGAACCACTGAGCTAAATCCCTGGCCCTATCAAAAATATATTTTTGTAGGGCCGGGGATTTAGCTCAGTGGTTCTGCCGCCTGCTGCGCAAGCGCAAGGACCCAAGTTCAATCCCCGGTACCAAAAAAAAAAAAAAAATTTTTTTTGTAGTCAGGTATGATGGCGGATACCTGTAGTCCTAGAACTCTGTGAAGCTGAGGCAGGAGAATTGCAGTTCAAGCCCAGCCTGGGCAGTTTAGCAGCTTAGCAAGACTGTGTCTCAAAATAAAAAATACAAAAGAGCTGGAGATGTAATGCAGTTTGAAGACTCTGGAATCAATCCCCAGTACAACCCTCCCCAAGTCTATTTGTTTTTATTGGCTTTTGGTTTTGTGTCTTACCAAAAAAAATTTATTGAGATTTCTTTAAAAGTTAAATATTAGGCATAACAGGATTTTTTTCAGTATAAGATCTTTATTTTTCAAGTAGGTTCCAGTGATTTAGCATGATTTATTTAAATGTGTATATTAATAATATAGCTTTTCACTATTTATGAGTTCATGTCAGCACCACGTAATTTAGAAATAATTCTGCACAGATAGCTATTTGATTTTTTTGTTTGTTTGTTTTTTGGTACCGGGGTTCAAATTCAGGTCCTTGCGCTTTTGAGGCAGGCAGAGGAACCACTGAGCTAAATCCCCAGTTAGCTATTTGGAATGGAAGTGGAATTTTTTTTACCTATTTGAAAAGCACTTGCTATGTAAAGGAATCTTTTGGCAAACTCATAAAAGTGTTGGAATCCTTTTTAAATTAAAGTGCAAATTATCTCTTTAAATTACTGCTTTTTGTGTGAAATTATAAGATTTTATAGTGAATTTTTGGAAGGTTAGAATTATGACTTTAATTAGATTAAAATGAAGTTAAAATTGATAGGAATTGAGCTGGGTGTGGTGGTGCATGCCTGAGACCACAGCACTCAGGAGGCTGAGGCAGGAGGTTTGCCACAAGTTCAAGACCAGCCTGGGCTCCACAGTGAGTTCAAGGCCAGTCTGAATGAGACCCTGTCTCCAAAAAAAAAAAAAAAAAATTAGAATGATAGTCTATAATGAATATCTTTAAGTTATAGAAAGGTAGGTATAAGGATTGTCTTAGAAGAATTTAGGAATATTTGGAGGTGATGGTCATTCTTGTAGTTTTTTAAGTAAAATATTCATTAAAGATTTTTCTTCTTTGTTTTTGCTTGTTTGTAGGATGGGAAGGCCATTGTGACTATGTGGTGACTACAATTATCTTACCACTGAGTTTCCCACTGGAATCATGGAGGAGAAACAGCAGATTATATTGGCTAATCAAGATGGTGGGACAGTGGCAGGAGCAGCACCTACTTTCTTTGTCATCCTAAAACAGCCAGGAAATGGCAAAACTGATCAAGGAATTTTGGTTACCAATCAGGATGCTTGTGCTTTGGCTAGTAAGGTGTCATCACCAGGAAAATCTAAAGGGAAGATTTGCCTTCCAGCTGATTGTACTGTGGGAAGAATTACTGTCACCCTTGATAACAATAGTATGTGGAATGAGTTCCATAATCGAAGCACAGAGATGATTCTGACCAAGCAGGGAAGACGTATGTTTCCTTATTGTCGCTATTGGATAACAGGCTTAGATTCAAATTTAAAGTATATCCTTGTCATGGATATATCTCCTGTAGATAACCATCGCTATAAATGGAATGGTCGTTGGTGGGAACCCAGTGGGAAGGCTGAGCCCCACATTTTGGGAAGGGTTTTCATTCATCCAGAGTCTCCTTCCACAGGTCATTATTGGATGCATCAACCAGTATCTTTCTATAAACTCAAACTTACCAATAATACCTTGGACCAGGAAGGGCATATTATCTTGCACTCTATGCATCGCTACCTACCAAGGCTTCATTTGGTCCCTGCAGAAAAGGCTACAGAAGTGATACAGTTAAATGGCCCTGGTGTCCATACTTTTACCTTCCCACAGACTGAATTCTTTGCAGTAACAGCCTATCAGAACATTCAGATTACCCAGTTGAAAATAGATTACAATCCATTTGCCAAAGGTTTTCGGGATGATGGGCTGAATAGTAAGCCCCTCAGAGATGGAAAACAAAAGAACAGCTCTGACCAAGAAGGCAATAGTGTTACTGGTTCTCCTGGTCATCGGGTCCGTCTTACTGAAGGTGAGGGGTCAGAAATACATCCAAGTGATTTTGAGCCTATGTTAAGGGATCATGAAACATCAGGGAAGGGTTTGGAGAAGCCTCCCCTTAACATAAAACAAGACTTACTTGGTTTTGTGGATACCGATTCAGCACTTGAAGTTCCTCAGTTGAAGCAAGAGATTTCTGAAAGGTAGGTAATAATTTTTCTGTTCTTAAAGATTAAAGGAAGATTGAAATAGGCTAGATTTTGGATTTAACACATTCATCCTGTGAAATGGTATAGATGTTGATAAATATAAGACTCTAGTAAACAGAACAAAATTGTTTCTATGTTCTGTTAAGTACAGTTTGTTTGTTTGTTTATTTATTTATTGGTACTGGGGATCGAACTCGGGTCCTTGTGTTTGCAAGGCAGGCAGTGGAACCACTGAGCTAAATCCCCGGCCCATAGTTTATTTTTCTATAATGTCGTTTGGCCACAGGATCTAGAATTATAGGCAAATAAATGGAGATCTTGTATCCATTTACATTTAGGATGTTCCTTGGTAGCATATATAGACAATTCATGATTAATTGAGAAGAGAAATATCTCCAAATTATAACAAATAAAAGTTATCAAAATGAGGCACAAAATAGATTAAAAGTAAACAAATTGCCCAACAGAAAAAACCAAGGTTATTACATATGCAAATTGCATTGATACAATGTTTCTTATTTATTTATTTATTTATTTAGGTACGGGGGATCGAACTCAGGTCCTTGTGCTTGCGCAGCAGGCGGCTGCGAAACTACTGAGCTAAATCCCTGACCCAATTTTTTTTTTTTGGTACCAGGGATCAAACTCAGGCACTTGCGCAGCAGGCAGCAAAACCACTGAGCTAAATCCCCGGCCCACAATGTTTCTTTTTTAAAAAACTCATCCTGGGGCCAGGGATTTAGCTCAGTGGTTCTTAACCTACCTCTTAAGTGGAAGGACCGGAGTTTGATCCCTGATACCAAAACAAAAACAAAAACAAAAACAAAACCTCATCGTGTATAATTGAACCTTTGTACTCTAGTGCAGTATCTCCCCATCACCCCTGATCCGGCACCACGAATACTTTATGAATAGTTGGCAGTTCATTTGCAGTTATTGTAGTGTTTTTGTGTGCCTTCCTTATTTCATGAAGAATAATAATACGGTTCATTGTGTTGTTACAACTGACAGGATTGCCTTCCTTTTTAAAGGCTGAATAGTATTATATTACAAGTACACACACACACATACACACACACACACACGCACACAGTATCCCTTATCTGAAGTGCTTGGAACTAGATGTGTTTCTGGTTTTGGAATTTTCTAGTTTTTGAATACTTTCATAGACTTAGCTGTGAGCGTCCTTAATCTGAAAAGCTCCGAAGTCTGAAATACTCCAGAATTCATCTTTTTTGAAGATTTGCTGGTGCTCAAGAAGTTTTTGATTTCCGCTGGATGTGGTGGTACACACTTATAGTCCCAGCACTGGGGAGATCAAGGCAGGAAGATTGTGAGTTCAAGGCCAACCTGGGATACATAGCAAATTCAAGGCCAGCCTGGACTACAAAGCAATACCTTGTCTCAAAAAAAAAAAAAAAAAGTTTTGGATGAAGGATGCTCAGTTTGTATTACATTTTCTTTCTTCAGCTTTCGACAGACTTCAGTTTTTGCCTTATCTTGTTTTTTTTTTTTTTTTGGTGCCGGGATCAAACTGGGGTCCTTGCGCTTGCGCAGCAGGTGCCAAAACCACTGAGCTAAATCCCCAGCCCTATGCCTTATCTTGACTTGTAAATAATGATGTTGTTTATTTTTATTTGAACTTGACTCATTTTGAGTGTTAAGACTTCAAGTTCAGAAGTAAATCCCAGTTTACCCTTTTCCTTTGCCTTCCCTTTCTTGTGTCCCTAACAGCTACTGTCCATTGAGTTTGGAATATCCATGCTCATGAATTCCCTAGCTTTCTCTGTGGGCAAGTTTGTGTTTTTCTTTTTCTTTTTGTTTTTTTTGTACTGGGGATTGAACTTGGGTCCTTGCACTTGTGAGGCAGGCGGTGAAACCACTGAGCTAAATCCCCGGCCCATGTTTTGCTTTTTCTAATGATTGTTATGGGAGGAATAAATGTTACTCAGTGTACAGAATTTTTTGTCAGGTAGGAACATTTTTTCAGTTTATACTTTTTTTGCAGGTGGGTACTAGGGATAGAACTTGGAACCTTGCACTTGCAAAGCAGGCAGCAGAACCACTGAGCTAAAGCAGTTTATACTTTTAACTGTTTTGTTTGTAGGTGCAACTAGTGGATGCTGCCTTCAGTGCTTTATTCTCCAACCACAGCTTAATCATTTTGATCAATTAAAAAATTTACACAATTGATTCCCAATTATAATATGATGTGTACATTTCCAGTCCACCAGTTATATATAGATATATTTTTGGTACTGGGGATCGAATTCAGGACCTTGTGCTTTCGAGGCAGGCGGCAGCACTGCTGAGCTAAATCCCTGGCAAGTTATATTTTTACAGTTCTTTTTTTTCTTTTGGTACTGGGGATCGAACTGGGGTCCTTATGCTTGCGGGGCAGGTGGCAGAACCACTGAGCTAAATCCCCGGCCCTTATATTTCTATACTCATTATCCAAAAGTTTAATCTGCCCTTTGTTGGTAGAAAATTTATTATTAAAATTCCTTTGGAGGCTAGAATGCAAAGGAGTTCTATTACCTGGAAGGGTCATGTGTGTTTATTATAGATAGCAACTTAGGAGATTACACCAAATATGATGGTTATTTTCCAGTAGTATGCTGTTGTAGTCATACCTATGACTGTGATCTCTGCTTTCATGTAAGATTGATTATTTTTATTTTTTTGAGATGGCATCTTGCTATTTTGCCCAGGCTGGCTTTGAACTCCTGGTCTCAAATGATCCTTCCACCACAACCTCCCAAGTATCTGGGACTTACAGCCATGTGCCACCTTTTCAGCATAGATGATGATGATGATGATGATGATGATGATGATGATGATGATGATGATGATGATGATGATGATGATTGATGATGATTGATGATGATGATGATGATGATGATGATGATGATGATGATGATGATGATTTTTTATTTTGGTACCAAGGATCGAACTCAGGACCTTGTGCTTGTGAGGCAGGAACGGTACCACTGAGCGAAATCCCCAACCCTCAGCATAGATTATTATTATTATTTTTTTGGGAAAGCATAGATTATTTTTAAAGCTAATAGTAGTTAGCTTAAAAACTTTTCAGCTTTCTTAGTTTCATACCTGGAGCTCAAATTGACTCCTGAAATTGGGTTCTTGCACTTGCGCAGCAGGTGGCGAAACCACTGAGCTAAATCCCCGGCCCAACTCCTGAAATTTTTGACCTTAAAACCTTGCTGGGCCTGGTAGTGCACTCCTGTAATCCTAGCACTTGGGAGGTTGAGGCAGGAGGATCGCCGGTTCAAGGTCAGCCTGGGCTACATAGTGAGACCCTGTCTTCAAAAAAATTTGTTCAGCTACAATAATTGTTCAGATTGGAAATCTGTACATTACTTTTGCCTTCTATTAAGTCACTCTGCTAATAGACATTTGGATTGTTTCTAGTTTTTGTTTTTTCTTTTTTTCTTTTGGTACCTGGGATCGAATTTGGGTTCTTTCCCTTTCGAGGCAGGTGGCAGCACCACTGAGCTAAATCCCCAGCCCAGGTTGTTCCTAGTTGTTTTTTTTAAATTATTGTTTCTAGTTTTTGATTGTTATGAATAAAGCTGCAGTGAATGTCTGTCTGTCTGTCTATCTATCTGTCTATCTAGAGCCAGGGGCTTGATATGTAGTTTAGACTGGCCTTGAACTCACTATGTAGTCCAGGCTGGTCTCATGGTGATCCTCCTATCCAGCCTCCTGAGTGCTGGGCTTACAGGTGTTCACCACCACATTTGGCTTACAGTGAATATTCCTGTGCATGACTTTTGGTGGACATATACATTAATTTTTTCTTGTTTTGTATCTAGGAGTAGACTTGGCTTGGGCATAGGGTAGTCATAGTTTTAGTTTTAGTAAATACTCCCAGAGTTTTCCAAAATGGTTATACTACCAACAGTGTTTGAGAGTTCCTGTTCCTTGGGGTTTTTTTTTTTTAGTTCCTGTTCCTTCATCTTTGTCAATACATATAGTAATAGCTTTCTTGTTTTGAGATATTCTGGTATTACTATTGTTATTGTTATTATTTTGTGATATCTGGGGATTGAACCCAGGACCTTCATATTGAACTATGTGCACAGCCCATATTTTATTTGTTATTTTGAGGTAGAGTCTCACTAGGTTGCCCAGGCTGAGCTCAAACTTGAGATTCTCCCACCTGAGCCTCTCAGAATGCTGGACTCACAGGTGTGTGCCGCAACACCCAACTTCTCACTGTTTTTTGATGTAACTTATTCATTAGTCATCCATTATTGGATGATTGCTTTTTTCTTAGTTGATTTATATCTTTGCCCTCCCCATTTTTATTTTCCTCCTCTTCCTGCTTTAATTTTAAAAAATCATTGTAGAGGGTAGAATTAATTCTTGCTTTCCATGATTTTCTTTCAAACATTTGGGGAAAGATATTTACAACCTTATAAGATTTTTGTTCTCGGGCCGGGGATTTAGCTCAGTGGTTTCGCTGCCTGCTGCACAGGAGCAAGGACCTGAGTTCGATCCCCGGTACCAAAAAAAAAAAAAAAAAAGATTTCTGTTCTCCTTTATTCAGTTATTCTTCACATATGACTGAACACCTAGTTAGGCACCAAATTCCTGTATCAGTGGATCTTGTACATATTTGCAAAGTAAATATTCACAGTTTATTCAGCTTTTCTATGTATTGCATAGTGTTCTGATGCTTTCACATTTCGTTGGTTGATTGTATACTGCTTTGGGTCGATATCTTTTTCCTCCAAGAAAGCACATCAGAAACAGGTGAATGAGATACTAGTATAGAGCGGTACTGGTAAACCTGTGGCATGCATACTGCAGCCAGCTGTTCATTATCATTGAAAGCTCTCAAAGGTTCACCATCACTGGTATAGACTGAATTACTCTGGTTTGATAGGAAAAATAATTCACAAATGCCAAAATTATGCCTTTATGAAAAGTTTTTCAAAAATTAATTGTCTATAGTCTAGAATTCTTTT